GTTCGTTATCATAATTTGGACTTCGTGGCATAAGAAGATTCATAAACATCTTCAGAAGTTCGAGGTTGAATCCAGTAACATTGGAAACTTGAAATATTGGACATAATCTTTCAGTAGCAAAATTACAAGCAGCTAAGACAACATCGTCCTCGCTACCAACCATTACAGGTATTTTACGACATCCGGGAGATTTAAGAATACGTTGTAACAATTTAAGAGTATTGAGAAGGACATTGGGTGGACACATATCAACCTTGGTTATAACCACGAAAACGGGAACATTTAATGCAAGAGCCAAACCAAGATGCTCTTTGGTCATACCGACAACACCAGCATTAGCACCAACCATAAGCATAGTGTAATCAGGTGCATGTCCGGTCATACCAAATATCGTTGTTTTCAAGTATCTCTCATGTCCAGCTAAATCGATGAATGTAATCACTTTAGATGAAGCCTCACAGATTTTAACCCAATCAAGATGACCAGCATGAGCATCAGCTGAATTAACTATTGCTCCTTTACTATCAAAACCAAGGATATCATTTCCAACGGATGAGGTTCGACCTGATTCCATTTCGTGTTTATGACGAAATAAACGTTGCCTAGCAAGTCCACGGCCATTGTCCAATTCCCCGTGTGTCAATACACCAAGAAGAGTACTTTTACCAGCATCTACATTACCCACGACAGCGACTCTCACCTCGTGGAAATCATTTGTTTGAGCTCTTTCTCGAATAAGATAATCACCGATTTGTTTACCATTTGGTAATGTTTTAGATCTTAACAGAACATAATCAGCATTTAATTCAGCGGAAATTCTTGATAGTGTAGCAACTGATTCGATCATTTCGTCCTCGGTTAATCCATTATCGCCACGTTCTGAGGGGTAGAAAAAGGAATCATTTTTAAAACTTTTCATCAAAAGATTAAATTGTGATTAAGATTAAATCAATATGTTAACAAAAGATGCAATAGAAAACATCATAACAGTTAAATCATAAGATAATCTTAATTGACCTTTATACAATTGTAATTAAGAATGAGCAACAATAAAATGAAAATGATTTTCAACAAATGAGCTAAGTTATCAAAGTAAAAGGATTGGAAAGATTTCCAGTAAATTATTAATATATCAAAGTATCTTGACTAATTGTTTGATCATCAAGATATGGACTTAATTGGTTAATCATTGGGTCACTAATTGCAAGGATTAAATGTAATTCTATTGAAATCTTTCATCATGAACAAATGGAAGTTAAAAATAAATATGATTTACCATTCACACCAATTTGGTATAAAGTTTCACCATTTCCATTGAACAATTTTGAATTGATATGATTAACAAGAGAGCTGTAGGTCTCTGGGTCTGGTTTAATTAGAGCATATTGATCCAATACTCGTTGATCGATTGATGTTGATTCCATTCGTTTATCATTACTTGATGATGGTGAATCACTATTAACAGGATTACTAAATAAATCGCTGATCTGTTTAGCAGTAGTTGGAGTAGAATCAAAGATTGGTTCCATTGTCGCAATATCACTTGTTGATTTATTACTATTTTTTCACTTTTTGTTCTGATCCTTCAGACTTTACGAAAGGTATTGAAAATTCACGATAATATCACAATAAGAAAATAAATTGTTAGCTAATGAGGAAGAGAGAGAGAGAGAGAGAGGAGGAGAAAAGAAAATTGACTTGAGATCCTTTTCCAAGATGTCAACTAAATCATCATCATTAACAATGATGATTATTTGATCTCTGTTGAATCCACATCACGTACAAAAGGTAAACAATAACAGGTTCATTCACCGAAATGTGAGCTTTCCATGTAATATTTCAGGATAAATGGTCGACAATCAACTGATCAATTCTGTAAGATTAAAGAACGAGAAATTAGAAATTGATAATTGTTTCAAAAAAAGAAGCAAAATGATCAAAACAAAAGTGAAAACAGTTCTGTGCAGACGATAAGAAGAAGATGATGATATGAAGAGTGGAAAAAACAACAAAAAAAAAGGTTTTCAGGTAAAACCGGAAAAAAATAGAAGGAACTTAAATGTACCCAAATTTGTTGATACAATTTCCTGGTTAACAAAAACACAAATAACACTAGTAAACCAATTAATGAAAACGATTGGTTAAGATAATTGATTGTTGTTGATTTGAAAGAAAAGCAAATTGGCAAAAGGATCATGTCAATCTTACCTCTACTATTGAGTTGATTTTTGTTTATATCTTCATACAACTAATTATATGGATCATTGAGTCAACTGTCAATTATAATTGTAAGTAATCAGGTAAGAAAATGAAAACCATGATAATTACATGTTTACCTATACAAGAATTGATTAAAATAGAAACATTTTCACTAATAAACATTAAGGTTTGTTAACAATGAAATTTGTCACTATCCCAATTGAATGAGCATATAAACAAAAAAGATGCAAGTAAAAACTGCCGATAGTCAATTAATCAACCATCAGATGATCAATTAATTACCTTTTTCTATCGTAAAGGTGAGATGGTTAAACAAGAAGATACTGAGAACTCTAAACAATGTTAATTAATTTCGATTCAAGTCCAATTTAGGTTAAATTAACAACGAATATGGGAAAATATAAAAAAAAAGCAGAATAACAACACACAGATGAGAGGAAAAGAAAACACAAACCAAAGAGAGAAAAAGAAAAGAAACAAAAACAGAAATAGAATAGAGAAAACAATCAATTCGATTACCTTTCGATGGCCAAAATAATTAGATAAACACACAATTAATTAGTTGATCAACAATTAAGAAAAAAAAGAAAAATAAACAAACCAAAGATGATAAAGATTCTCAACTAACCTTAACCAGAGATTTTCGCTTCTCTTTGTTTTTCCCTCTTTGTCTTTTATTCTCTTTCTTTTTTCTCTGTCTTTTTTTCTCTCTTTCTCTTTTGTCTATTAATTTTCCAAGGTTAACTGGTGATTTAATTTTCCATTTGTTTTTCTCATCAAATTGGTGGTTGATTGGTGATTATTTGTTCTTATTCTTACACTTTGTGACCCGGTGTATCTTCTGAGGAAACAAAAGAAACAAGAAACATGCTAATTGTGGCTCAACGAAGGTCCATTAACGACCGTGTATTTGTAAATCTATTTAGAGCGACTGTACTTTTTACACAACTGTATTTACTAAATGGTGTTATGGATAACAAGATATAAAAAATGGAAGCTCAATCTTGATTAAATATGAAGATAATCATGATGATTAGACAATGAAGATGGACAAAAATACTCTCCTTGACCATAGGTGAATCTAATCATCACCATTTTCAAGATGTTAATTTAGTGAAATTACTAGTAGTAATTAACAATCATCTCAATGGTTACCATGAGATTGAATAATCAATCATTTTCACCCAGTTATTTGTTGACATGATGTTCAAATGGTTAAATTGTTAACAATTAGCTTTCTCTCTTTATCAACCTGTGTTTACAGTTGAAGGACATTGATTAAGGTTAACGTTGATTCACTTTGAATTAATCACAATTGTATCATGTTGATTTCTCAATCTTTGTTTGTGTTTACATAGAAAAAAAATGTAATTCGTATTGATCAATTTTCCATAATTTGGCTGTCTAAAGAAAAATTAAATTCGGTTAACAATTGAATTAGATTTTTCCAATCAGATGATTAATATTTTGATTCTTTACTTTTTGTGTTGCGTTCAAAAGAACCGCCAAATGTTACAGAAATTTTCAATTCGATTGTGTCAGAAAATTAATTCAATTAAATTCTTTGTGATAATTAGTCTTGGATTTTATTCCACCAATTAAGTTAGATCAATTTTCTCGAATTTTAATTAAAGTTCATCTAAATCTGAATCAGATTAGATTCACGACTAGATGATTTTCCGTCAAAAAAAATGTCATAAACTTTTCCTTGTACCAATTAATTGTTTGCACTTTAAATATCTTGAATATAAGTCGATATTTTGATTTTGTTATTATTGTTGTTGTTTGTTGTTGTTGTTGTTGTAGTTCAGTTTCATTGAATTGAGATAAATTATTTACATATAATACACAGAAATGTTTTGACTACATAGTGTCAGTCACTTTTTAAGACCATTGTTAAATTTAGTTGGTTGTTGATTTAGCAAAAAAAGGATTAAACATGATCTGTAAATTGTTTCATAATAATTAGAGGTCAAGAAAAAACTGGACAAACTTAAATTAAGAGAAAAAATATAAATTATGTATATAGATTTTCTTCTAGCATGCTGATCATATATAATTCGTTTTATAAGGTGATCCATTTGGTTGTCATTCGAATGGATTAACGAAGAAAAAAACACCAAACATCTTGCGGGAAATTCAGCAATTCCATTGTATCTCTAACCTTCATGATTAGTTTTAGATTCGAGTTGATTAAGACTAGAGTATTTTTCTAAATGTTTCCTCCTCTAGTCTTTACAGTCATTAGTCGTTTTCGATTCTGTTTCTCTAGACGTTTTCTCTTTCATTATGATGTTATTAATTTTGGACGTATGGTAATGATGATGATTATCCGATTGTTGCGATTCGGCAAAAATTTGACACTTGATTGTCGTTTTTTTTTGCTTGAGCTCTTTTGTTAATCCACATGGATTCACCAGTATTAATCTCGTTACGTTCAATCGGGACACTTTTTTTTTGTACACCAGGATAAATTTTTTCTCGTTGAAATTTGCCATTGCCTCTTTTTAGTTTCTCTACTTGTGTTGTTGTTGTTAACGATGATAATTTAACAGAGTTGTTTTTTTTAGTGACACAATGCACACACAATTAATGATTATCGCAACAATTAATGATTTCCAAGGTCATTCACAGAGTAATTCATCATTCATTATCAGCTAGAATTGTGATTGTGATTGATAAACAAAAAGGTGTTCCATAAACGTCCATGTACTATACACATAGTCACATCTTTTTAACAGGAGAGTCACAGAGACAAAATATATTATAATATATTATTTATAATTGAAGATATGGATTGTGGTAGTTCATTTCCGGGACCATTTTGTTGATATTGATTTTAAATATATATATGTATATATTTACGTGGTATTATAGTTATATAAGTTTGTTATTTGTTTCAAACTGTGCTCGCTTTGTATATATATAATATGTATTTGGCCAATATGATTCGTTTTATAAATAATCAACATAATTTAAACAAAAAAAAGTCACGTTAATCACTCCTTCTGACAATAGAGCTCTTTCAAAGACTTTAATTCTTCAATTAAAGCTTTATTCTGTGTCTCTAGCACGGTAACTCGCTGCTCAAGGCACTTAATATACTCTTTCTTTTTCCTTCGACACTCTTTTGCAGCTTCCCTATTGTATGAGAAAGAGAGATAGAGAGAGAGAGAGAGAGAAAAAAAGAAAGAACCATTAGTAAGAACGATATTATGAAAGGTCATATAAAGAACGATATTTTGACAGATGATAACATTACAGGTAGAAAGTGATAAAACCTTTATATTGATTGATTTATATATTTACCTATTTTTTAATAAGCGTAGTTCACGTTTTTTGGTTGTTTCATCAGGATTCTGACCATGAGGTGATGTAATTGTGGTCGGAGTTGTCATAACTACACCCTGAGGTAATCCAGTTGGACCTCCTGCTCCTGTCCGTAAATGATATGCTTGTAAGTCAGCTGTTGATACAGTTACTGCTCATATCAAAAGAGAGAACGGAAAAGGTTAAAGGTGAAATAAGATTAGTGTTACTATTTTTGATATCATTTCGAAATCATATTCAAAGAAATATATATTATATATAGATAAAGGATGAAACAGGTAGAAGAAGAAAAGTCATAGAAAAAGAAATAGAAAACTTATCAATTTGTAACAATATGTTTTCTTCAATAGAATAAAAATGATGTATCTTGTTAAAGAAGAAAAATAAATACTATCTTTCTCTCTATAGAGCTTGAAACAAGGAAAAAGAGAATGATAAATTGTGTGTGAGTGGTTTGAGTGTAGAAATGGTAAAAACAAGGAAAATCTTACCGGGAACAAAAAACTGTCCATCCTGTCCTTGAGTAGCGTACTGAACGATTCCTCCACTCGCTGCGTTTGTCATTGTTAACGTTTGTAACCCTTGGATGGTTCCATCTTGGGAAGCGGAGGCAAGTTGAATTGTCGATGTTGGTACAACTTTAAGGTATGGACTGGCTACAGCGATTGTCGCTGCATTACTTGATTCACTAGATTCACCATCATCTTCCGATTTAATATCAGCTATAGACGATGATGATCCAACATTGGTTGCTGAAAGATCATTAAAAATTTTACGATAAGATGGTCGCCTTGTAAGCCCTTCACGTCTCGCCTTGGCTTCTTCATCTAAAATGGGTGAAGGTGTTTGAGGTGGTGGTTGTTGTGATGGAATCATTGTTTCCCCATGATCACCTCGTGAACTGGAGATTAAATGTAATGGTTGAATTGAATTCATTTCATTAGCCTCTGTACTTTGTATCACGGAGCCTTGACCCCCTTTGTTTAAAAATATAATGTTCTTAGGAATAGAAACTGTTTGCACTGATGCTGCTGTTGATGAAGATGATGATGCTGCGGCTGCTGCTGCTGCTGCGGCGGCGGCTGATGCTGCCCCACCGGTTGCTTGTATGACAGATTGTTGATTGACAGGTTGGATGACAGATTGTACTACATTAGTTTGATTAGGAAGTTGTAATTGAACAATTGAAACGGCTCCACCAGGTTGAGGTACAGCTATAGTTTGTGACACTGGATTATGATTGTGTTTAATTCCAGTAGATGTTGGAGATGGAACCGAGGTGAACACAATTCCATTTGCAGCTCGCACAGGTAAACTATTAGCATTGGATCCAATAGATCCTGTTCCTTGGACTGATGCAATGGTTGTTGATGATAGCGAAGATATTGAAGAAGATGATGAAGAAGAAGAGGATGATGTTGGAGTTGAAATAAGTGTAGAAGAACAAGAAGAAGATGATATTATTGATGATGACGAAGATAAACCTCCAGTTATTGTTGTTGTTGGTGATCCAACTAATGTTGTTATATTAGAAGAAATTCTATCAAGGCTTTTAAGGGATGTGATTATACTTTCATTTGGACCATCCCTCTCACGATGGCTATCCGATGTTGGTGTTGATGATGATGTGATTACCTCTTCTTCGTCAACCGACGAATCCATCTAACAATGGAACACAATCCAGTGGGGAAAAAAATAGGTGGAGAGGGGAGGACAATGTTATCTCTCACCAATCCAGATCGATCATCAAATATGAGAAGAAGATGAGAGAGAGAGAAGAGAAGAAGAAAAAAAAGAAAAACAGAACAGAAAAAAAAGAGTAGTACAAGTAGAAAGAGGCAGAGAAAAAGAACAAGAAAAAAAACCTATGAGAGAAAATAGAGGAAAAAGAGAAAAAGAATTGAAAAAAGAGAGAAAACAAACCAAGAAGATGAAGAAGAAGATTAACAAAGATGATGAATTAATTTAGTTTCTTGTTTTGTTAAAAAAATTCCAATTCAAAAAATACAATTAGAAAAAGAAATCAAATTAAAAACAACAACAATCTTTAAATAATCAAACTCTTAATTCATTTAATTTCTCAAACACAAACATCAAACATGGCGTCGAATCAGTGGCTCCATCTGTCGAATTAAACATTCATGACCTTAATTTTTTTTCTAATTCGATTTCAAGGTCGAATGATTTGTTTTAACCTTCATTCAGAACTTTATTATCATTTATTAACATGGAAATCGATAGATAATTTTTCAAGGTTTCCATTGATTGTATCACATGATGATTATTGACAATTTAAACACGGAACAAGAAACGTAAGAAAAGGATAATTTAGCCTGAGGCTTTTAAAGAAAACAAGAAAAGTGAAAGTAAAGAAAAATAAAATTAAAAACTTTCACAATAATTACAATTAGAATTTTAGAAAATTTTAACTTAATACAATTTTTGTTCCTTAATTTTTTAACCTTCAATTTCTATTCTATTAACTTGCAAAGGAGAATCAGTTTAATCACTTTTTTTGTATTGATATTTGTCTATGAAGTTTTGTATTGAGAAAAAAAAGTTTTTTCAATTGTCTTTAAAAGTGATTAATAAGAAAATTAAGTTTAATTGGTAATTGTAGTTTTAATTGTTCTCATTAAGATTGATTGTACTCTTTAATGAAGGTTATTAATTTTTTTTTCTTTCCATTCTAAATGTTAATTGTTTGCAAATAATGATAATAATATAGATTAAGAAGGTAACTGGATTAACAGGATTGTTATGTAATTGATTAAAATGTCAAACAATTAAAAGATCAAGGTAATAATAAAACAAGTTACAAATACAATATTAAACTAATTAACGATTAGATTAAGAGAGGGATTAATTTGTAAATAAAAAGAAAATCAATTGCTTACAATTAGTAAAACTAATCGTTGGCTGATTGTTTGTAATCATAGATTTCAATTCATATTCATCATTATGATTAACTTTTCCAATGTGAATTTGATTAATCATAATCTGATTAGAATCTAGATTGTTTTCTTTTTCTCAGAAATGTTATTGATCGAAATGAGCAAACAATTAACAAGTGATTGAACTATAATTGTACAATTTTCGTTGCAATTAGTTGAATGAGAAATGTATTCAACTATTGATTATTATTATTCTCGTCAAGTTAATCCAATTTTCTGAGATAATTTGATTGCAAGACTGTAACTGATTAAGAGTAAAATCTAATCAACAGTCTAATCGATAACTAATAAGATTAATTTATCGATTCTGATAAGGGGAAAATGGAAAAAGAAATAACTGAATTAGATTAAGTGAATGGAATTAAATATGAAATTAAGAGGAGAAACAACGATTACATTTATGACAATTTCTTTTTTCTAATTCTAATTCTGGTCTCATGGATTAAATTAATCTCTTAGTTAGATAAACAAGTAAATTTCAGGAATAACAGTTAAGGTAAATGATTAATTACCTTTACGAATTTGTCTCAATGGTGAAAATCTAATAAGATGAAAACTGAATTTCAATTGGAAGGAAAGAAAATCAGTCGATGAACTTTCCATTTCTCTTTTTGTATTGAATTTAATCAATTTAATCACCGACGAAACACTTAGATCACTGTGAAGATAATCCAGATAATCCCAATGTAAATCCATTAGAATTTGGGTTCGTCCTCGATTCTAACCCTTTTCCTTTTGGTAGCGAAAACGAAATTTAATCCAATCATCTGAATAGAATTTGTTAATTGTTCTAATATAAGGTAACAATTGATGATTAACAATCTATTAAAATAAGAAGAAGAGATTTTAATTTTGTTGATTCAATTGAAATGAAAGAAAACAATTTAGTTATTTCGATGAGAAAGACAATGTTAACTTACCAGAGAAAATGCCATTCCAATTGATTGATTGTTGTTAACCAATTTAATTGTTTGGAAATTAAAATTTTGTTCTAAACAAAGTGTAATTGTAATTAGAGTGAAATAAATGGAAATTGGTGTTAATTGCTGGGGAAAATTAGATTAGTATGAAAATATTGGTACGAATGTAATTGGACGTGATTAACAATGAATAAAGGATGCAAATGGAGGAGACAAAGTGAGAATCAAACCCAATCCTGGGTTTAGGACTGACATCAAAGTTACGTCAAAGAACACTCAACAAACATCATCATCATCGTCGTCATCTTCATCATCATCATCATCATCATCATATGAGAGAGAAAAAAGAAAGAGATAGAATTGAGAGTAAAGCAAAAATGATTAAGAGGAAAGAGACGTTAAGAGAAATTGTAACGAAGAATGAGAAAGAAAAAGTAACAATATAACAATTAGAAAATTAAATTTTAATACATTCAAATGAAATCGATCAACATTTGATTGTGATAAAGTTGCTGATCATTTTAATATAAATTGACAATCAACTTTGATAGATTCTCGTTCAACTGATCAATCTTTTACTTTTCAATGTTACTTAAATGGATTGTTACTACTTTCTAGTGAATTTATTTGATTGTTGTCACATTTAGATGTCTTTCTGTTAATTACCTTGAGATTACGAGGTTAAAGACATTATTTTTATTTCGAACGTTCAAATGTTCAAATTTTGGCATCAACTCGATATTTTTCGTACTATTCTCTTATTTGTTTGATATTATTCTATTATTCTCTCTAAAACAGAACTTTTTAAGAATTCGCCATTTTCGTAAATCATATGGAAAAGATAAAGTCGAAAATTTTCCTTCTCTTCAATCAACTAATTGTGATTTTAATTAAACACAATTCGTTGAAAGAGCGACATCTCTCCTAGGAGAAACACTTTAATTTCTTGTGAACAAAATTTTCTTATTGTTTTTCTGCCATCTATCGGATTGCAATTTCTATTTGATTAGAAATTAATTTTAATAGCCGATAAATCCCATGTACCAATTGCCAATGCTGTCTATTGATCAATCAGTATTTAACCTAATTAATAATTACGGTTATTCATTGGAAAACCCATTCTTTTGAGGCCATTTGAGAGAAAGCAAAAGGTCAACTCTCGATAACAACCAGAGAGATTCATTCGCTTGTTTCGTACGTTTAGGCATTCACCTCGAACGCATCGTCAGTGAAAACTCAGTTTTCACTGTTTATTTTCATGCAAACTGGGTAATTCTAATTACTATTATTTAACTAAAACGAAACGAACGAAACTATTTAATAATGTCTCCGGGGAGCCCCTCAAATGACCTCTAAATGTGTTTGTCAAGGAACGCTCGCAATGACCTTGACACTTTTTGCCATTCTTTGAGTTTCTCGTTAGACATCAAAAATCAGGTCATTTAGGGTTGACATATCTCTTAATCAAAAAAGTGATCCTTCTTGTGTTCACAATGTGAATAAATCAAATCCTCTAAACAAGATCACTTGATAAATTAATTGTCCGTGTTGACTTACTGATGGTATTATTTGATTCTCAAAGCTGCCGGGTCTCTCCGGTACACTCAGTGTCTCGATGAATCGGATTAAATATAATCATGATCTATTCAATAAGTTTGACTTACACTCGAAGATCAAACAATTAAATGAACCGCCAACAATTTGATCACAATTCAATCTCCACCCATCAACGTTACCTTCGTTTACACCTTGTGATTAAATTAACTAGTGAAATTGATTCACTAATTAGTAATTATTAACCAAGTTTAAAGAATCTGATTCAATAAGAAAGTCATATGGACTCAGAGTTGAGTTTTAAAATTCCAAAAGTTGAATCAATTAAATGACCAAAAAAATTTATTATCGTTAATCAATGAATCGTTTCTCTAAATCAGCTGATCCATCATCAAGGTAACAAATTAATTTCATGATAAAATATGAAAAATATACTAAACTTTTTCTTTATTTTCTCTTAATTTTTTTTCCACTACAATCAGTTAATCAATTCCAGTTCCAATTAAATATCATCTTTCAATGTTTATTTTATGTTACTAAGTTTGAGACTATTTAATCAACAATAATATCAACCTGATATTTGTGATGATAATCAGATGATAATTGGATTTTTAATTCAAAGAGTTTTAGGTGAGTTAATTGTTTGTTCACATTTTGATTCTTTACACAATTTATCTCAAAATAGTGATACCAATCTACCAATCTAATGATTAGTGATACATTCACTGTACGTTGACAATTAGAGATGATCAAAGAAAAAGGTAAAGGAGGAGCTCAGAGGGAACTCATATGATAATGTAAATTGCTTTTCTCTGGAAAAATTCAAGGTTTTTGGGTGAAAAAAGGTGGAGAAGTTGATTGTCAGCGTAGAATACAATTAGTTGATTTCTTTTTAATCACAGAAATTGTTGATAATCTAATTTAATCGCGATCAATATGTTCAACGAATTGTTACTTTAAAAACTGTTCGAATCTTTTTTCTCTCTTCCCTTTTCAGATCCTCTTCTTGATTAATCTTAACCAGTGTCATCATCAAGTCTAATTAATCGTCACAATTACAATTAGTTGGAACGTTATGAATTCATATTCCAAAAAGATATTTTGTTTTTGAAGAAGATGAATTCAATCTGAATCAGGATTATCTAAATCGTGCCTCAAAGGATTAAACTTTTTGTTACTTTTGAAAGATGAACTGCTTCTTAGAAGTGGACTTATAATCGATTTACTAATTGTTAACTGTTCTGTTTCTAATTGTTATAAAAATGAATAACAAAAAGATTTTAATTGCTGTTGGGACTATTGTATGTGCTACAATATTTGTCATTGTTTTGTCAATCTTTTTAACTGGTTCGTATTTTGGTGACCAAGATGAACCTCCAAAGTTAATTGTCATCTCTTTCGATGGGTTTAGAGCTGATTACGTTTCTCCGACCTTAACTCCGACCCTTTGGTCACTCAAACAAACGGGAGTGACCGGTAGGATGTTCCCTCAGTTCATAAGTAAAACTTTTCCCAATCATTTCTCAATAGCCACTGGACTTTACGAGGAATCTCATGGAATCGTTGCCAATAATATGTACGATCCTGAGTTGAATTTAACATTTGACCTCTCCCATAGCACTCAAGTTTGGTGGGACAATGGGTACTCATTACCTCTTTGGGTAAGTTTTCCAACTCATTCCATTGATTATTAATTAAGTTCCACCATTTATTCAATGAACTAAATTCAGATGGAAGCTAAACTTTTCTATTATTAATTATTTCTGTTGATAATCAATTGGAATCAATGATTTTTTCAGGCTCATCAATCTTCATCAAACTTTAATTGTCATTGTTACTATGCTATTTACTACACATCATTTTTGAGTTATTAACGATTAATTGTAATTGTTATTATGTTTTCTTGTTGCTCTTCCAAATTCTAGATTGCAAATCAGAAAAAGAGCAATCGAAAGAGCGGAGCGATCATGTGGCCTGGATGTGGGTTCACCTTTGGTGGTGATCGAGCATTTTACTCAGTTGAATTCAACCGATCAATTGATATGAAGGGTCGAGTTGATATTCTCATGAATTGGTTTACCGATAAAACTAATCCTGCTAATCTTGTTTTCCTTTATATTGAAAATCCCGATGATACTGCTCACAAACATGGACCCTTTGGAAATGAAACTTTGGCCCAGGTTCGAATGGCCGATGAAGCGGTAGCCTATTTATTGGAAAATTTAGATAATCACAATTTAACCTCATCAACCAATATCATCTTGGTTAGTGATCATGGTATGGAAGAGTTTAAATCAACCACTACCGTTAATTTAACCGAATTGGTTCCTGATCAAACTTCATTCCAACAATTTGGTGGATCTCAAGCAATTAGTATTCTACCTAATCCTGGAGTAGAAGATCAAGTTTACCAAATGTTCAATACTCTTGGTAAAACTAATCATTTCAGAGTTTACAAGCGAGATGAGATTCCCGAGGAATATCATTACAGGTAATCAACAATTAACTAATCTCCTGAGTAAACTTTAAATACCCTTAACATGTAATAATCACACAGAATTAGTCTCAATGTTATACATTAATAATTCAATAGTATTTTCCACCATTAATTTACCACGAGAACAGATCGTTTCCCGATTAATAATCAAGTATAAGTAATAATTACTTGTTCTTTAATTGTTATACTATTTTAAATATCCTTTGAAACTGTAATCAAATCGACAGTTTATTGTGTTGATTTAATTATTAATATTTCCCCATTTAGCAATTGACATTAACTGAAAATTGGTCCAGTAAAGTCTAAAGTAATTGAGATTAAAAAGTAAATTGTCACAATTATAATTGAACAACAATTCTCACACACCTTCAACTAAAACAATAAAAGTCGAATTGGTTATGGTAATTGTTATCAAGAATAATTAATTGTTTGCTTTTCCTATTCCAGAGATAATATAAGAATCCAACCAATTCTATTGGAGGCTGAACCAGGCTATGAAATAGCGTTCAGTTCCTGGAAACATCCTGATTCCATGTGGGGTAATCATGGTAATAATAATACTCAACCGGAAATGGAAGCGCTTTTTATTGCCTCAGGCCCTCAATTCAAAGATTCATTCAATTTAAATGGAACCTCATTTTTCAACATTGATCTTTATCCAATTATGGTTGATATACTCAACCTCAATGTTGGTAATTACAAATGCAATGGAACTGATTTAATTACGAGAAATTTACTTGCTGAACTTTAAATTATTAGTAAAATTGTGTAATTGCATTTATTAAACTATTCTTTCATGTATTAGAACAATTGAATTTTAATTCAAATTATAAAAGAAAATTTTTCCTCAATTTAATCAACAATTAACTTTGAGAGAATCTAATTATCCAAGAATATTGAATATCTTTGATAAACTTTTTGTAGAAATTGAAATTTTCTAACTTTTTCTTAATAGAAGAGAGAAAATTTCAAGAATTAATTTAGTGTTTACATGTAAGTTTGATCATAGAAATAATTGATTATAATGATCAAAATTTTCCGATTTTATTCTGTGAACAATTAACGTAACATTGGTTAAGAACTAAATTTATTTCTCACCAATGTTTTGTTTTCTTTTCACTAAGAATCAGGATTGAGATTCTGATCACAACGATTAATTGGTTTGAGAGACAATTATGAGATATCAAAAAAATATATGAAACGATATGAGTTGATTAATTCGCAATGAATTTAATTGTTTAAATTAATTTTGAATTTTGATTGGATAACATGAAAAAAGTGGCTACGAATGTTTGATTTAAATGAATTGTACCAATTGATTAAACGTTTTCGACGAAAAGTTTTATGTTCTAACGATAAACTCATTTCTTTCTCAATTAATGTTGGCAATTCGTGGGTCCAATTGGCGATATATATCACAGGGGCAGAGTGTTTTTTCAATAGACGATAAGCTGAATTGGGATCACAATTTGATTTATGGCCTTTTACATGGTTCAAATTTTCCTCGACAACGGGCAGTGAACCAAAAGCAAAAGCTTCATAGATACGATAACACTCATGATTCATTCCAATGGGACTAAGGGTCAGATCAGATAAACGAAGAGCTTGAAGGTATCGGTCAAGAGTTTCACTTGTCTCATTCGGTTCCCATTCTGATCGACCTTTAATGAAACATGTCCCCTCATCAAGAGATTTCAACACCTCCATCAGTTCACTTCGAGAGGAATTTGGGTAAACGGTACCCAGAAAATTACAAGTATATGGATTTTCGAGTCGTAGGTTGAGTTTAGTTGCATCGGGATTTGGAAAGTTACGATAAGTGGCTACTCCCAAAGGCCATTGGTAAATTTCATTATCATCAATATCTTTCCAATCGTAAACGGTGAATAAAAATTTCAACGGTCCACCATTTGAGGCGAGATATTTTTTAATCCAATGGTTGAAACAAAATTCGTGACCAAGGAGAATCGCGCCAACATTAAATGGCTGAACATCTCTGGATGATGATAAATGATTGAATTTCTCTAACCATTGCTTGGCGAAATCAATTTTTTCCTTTGAACGTCCATTCAGAACAATAATCATATTCTTAGTTCCAGTTGACGATTCTTTCAGAATATTTTCATCGGTGGTAAGAAAATTTTCCAACGATTGTGGTGTAAGTGATGGACCACTACGGAATTTAACCTTAAATTGGTCAAGTTTTTTGAAACCATATTGATAGAATTGACTTTTCTTGCTAATCTTTCCCTTCAAAATATGTTCCCAGAGATAATTTCCAATAGCGGCTTTGGACCAAATTTCGATGACAGTAAATTGATTATTTGAAGATTTTTGTTTCTCTCCATTTGGTTTATTATTATTTTCACCAATAGCATTTGATAATTTGCTTCCATAAACATCATCAACTGGACCCCAATAATTGTAATCAATCATATTACTTGAATCATTATGTTTGATAAGACTAATCAAATTGTGAGCTCGTTCTTCAAGAGGATCAGATGACGATGGTACTTTATAAAGGAATATAAATGCTGTATAAGTTAAAATGAGAACACTAATCACAAAAACAGCGATTGTGTAATCTTTTAACGGAGTCATTGGGGAGCAAAAAGTTGATTGTCTAAATCAATTTGCCTCTAGGAAATTAGACCAAAATGTAATCCAGATGAATCTTCATTTCTTTGCAAATAAAACACAACATAACATTGACCTGTAAAAGAACAAAATACAAAAAAGAGATTAATCCATAATCCATTTACAAAATGTAACATAACTTCATATCAATAACAATTCAATTTAATTCCAATCAACAGTAATTAAATTTCTTACCTAATTTATCAACAATAAAACCCAAAGAGTTAAATTTAAAAATCATCTCTTTGTTGTTGTTGTAAGATGAGAATCATTTACATGGACGAGAATAAAAATCACTACAAACGGTAAACTAATCCCTTAACGAATGATAAATTGTTTGAAAGAAAAGAAAAATTTGGCACAATTAGTTAATTAATCAACGAGAAGAAAAATAATTTGTTGAGAAATTGAGAGAAAATGATTTTCTCAAAATCTTCAAATGTTTACATTTCTTTTCGATTAATCGATTTCAACAATTTCGATAATCGAAAAATTTTATTTGTTGTTGATTTTTATTCAATTTAAAATCCTTACACCTTTTAGTTGATTAGAATGACAGTTAATAATTAGTGATTAGTTTTAGTTAACAATTAATTTTAACCATGGATCCTTGTGAAACAGTTTGTTTACTTGAGAGTTTCACTGAATACGAAGAGGTTCAAACGTTAATCGATCAATGTATTTCTTTGGATACTTTGAACTGCTCGGATAAAGATAAACAACCAGCCCGGTTAATTGTTGAATCTATTTTTGAGACATGGGTTAAAATTTTTGACCGTTACCAGGAACAACCTCATCTTATTGATCGTCACATTGGTTCAATATTAACCCAATTAATTGGTCCAATTTACCAACAGGCCAAGAAAAGTGATTCGCCCTCAATTCCTTCAATCTCCTATCATACCTCTTGTAATTTCATTTATCATCTAAGTAAAGTTAGAGGATTTAAAAATTTGGTTCGACATTTTCCTCACTCAGTTACTGATTTAGAAATTGTCATCTACCTGTTAACCCAAGAATCAACTCAAAATCTGGTTACCTGGCGTACACGATATGTTTTATTACTTTGGTTATCACTTTTGGTCACTTTACCTTTTGATTTTAAGAAATTTGATTCAACCGAAACGGATAATCAACAAAAGCCACTCATCGAAAGGTAAACTTAATTTTTACGTTGGAACAATTGATCAAATGATCTTTTATTAGAATTATTTTCAAATTTTCCTTCATTGTTTGTTAATCCACAGATTATATGACTTGATTAAAGTTAATCTAATTGTTGGAGACACACCGAGAATCGCAGCCGCTGTTGCCTGTGCTCGCTTCCTAACAAGGCCTGAAGTATCAAAGATTTACCTTGAAGGTCACATTGATTGGTGTCTAAACGTTAGTAATTTAATTTATTCTATACGAAACTAACAATTAACTCTTTTTTTCACTCGTAAAGGTTATCGATGAAGTTTTCAATGATCCAATGCATCTTAATAATAGAATCGGTGTTCTCACTTCGTTGGCTTATATTTTCAAGTTTGGTAAACGTGAAGATATCTCACCTTTTGCTAATAAAGTTCTGATGAAGATAATTGATCACAATATACTATCACAATCCAAGCATCTTTTGGTTAAAATAATGGTGAAAATAGCCCAAAGAGTTGGTCTTAGTTTGCTTCGGATTAAAATTGCTTCCTGGAGATACTCAAGAGGCCGTCGTTCAATACTGGACAGTTTAAGACAAACAGATTCAAAATCAGGAACCAATTCCGGTGATGAGAATACTTCAACCACTGAAGATGATGACGACAATTATCATGTTCCCGATGAAATTGAAGATATTATAAGTGTACTTTTAGACGGTTTAAGATTTAATAGTAATCTTGTTCGTTGGTCAGCAGCTAAAGGTATTGGTCGGATTACAAGTCGATTACCTCGTCTCATGGCCGGAGAAGTTGTTTCAAGTGTTCGTGAGCTACTTGATTCACCTGAAAACGATGGCTCTTGGCACGGTGGTTGTTTAGCTTTAGCCGAACTTGCCAGGCGTGGATTAATATTACCCGATCAATTGTCGCAAGTTCTTCCTCAGATAATTAAAGCTTCCGTTTATGAGGAATCCCGAGGAAACTTTTCCGTCGGTGAAACAGTTCGTGATGCTGCTTGTTACGCATTTTGGGCCTTTGCACGAGCTTATGACGCTGAAATATTACGACCTTTTCTCGATGGGATAACCTCAACTCTATTAGTAGTTTCTGTCTTTGATCGGGAGATTAGATGTCGACGAGCAGCTTCAGCAGCCTACCAAGAGACCGTCGGTCGATTAGGATCTCATAATGTTCCCCATGGAATTGAAATATTAACCACAGTTGACAATCAAGCGGTTGGCAGAACTCGAAGAGCATTTCTTGAACTAAGTGTTTTCGTCGCACAATTTAACAACCATCTACAACCATTAATTTACCATTTACTTGATGCAAAAATTAACCATTGGGACCAAGAAATCAGATGTCTCAGTGCCGAAGCGCTGGCAAGCTTAATCAAATTGGCACCTAACGAATTGATAAATGATTTAATCATTCCAACAATTTTATATAAAACCACAAGCTCTGATTTAGCTACGAAACATGGATCGATAATAGCACTTGCATGGGCTATACATTCAATGAACCAAATGAACATTAATTGTCCAAATCAAATTCTGGAAGGTATTGAACGAATATCAACTGAGATTAAATCGTCACTTGGATTCAAAGGAGTTAAAGGTGAACTTTTCCGTTCGGCGATTTGTCTTCTAATCGAGAAAGTCTCTCTCTCGTGTCTACCAATCGACAAACAATTTATTCTCAACTGTTGGATTGACATTCTAAAAGATTGTGTCTTCCATACTAATGAGACAATCAGGAGTAAAGCGATAACGGGATTTGTGGCTTTATATGATAACTATTTCATTGGTCAACCGGAGATTGGACAAATTTGGACTAAACATTTACTCGAAAATTGTGTAACTAATCTTGAACATGTTCGATGTGGATCATTGGAAGCTCTTGGATGTTTACCAGTTTCAATCATTTCCATTGAGATGATAAAAATTATCTTCGATACAATTTTAACTTCTCTTAATTCAATAACACCCGATGAAAGTATTTGGTTTCAATGGAAAGTTTCAGCAGTTAATTGTTATACTTCACTTTTATTACAAATGGATAATTTAACAATCTCAAGTTTAAATAGTCTAGTTAATCAAATTATCGACCACAATTTAAACGTGGCAATTGAAGATTATACAACAAGCAGTAAAGGAGATGTCGGTGAACCAGTTCGCATTTCAGCAATTAACTCAATTAGGGTAAAACTTTTAACCCTCGAAAATACTTACTGACAATTAATTTGTTCTATTCTTTTTTTTCTTTCAGAAAATAGTCTTGCACCTCCATGGATTATCTTGTGAACTATTAAACTACGACTTAATCAATCGAATAATCAATCAATTACTAATCCATTGTGTTTCCCATCACAATGAGATGCGTTTGGTTGCCGGTGAAAATTTTTTCCAAATTGTTCATGGGTAAGATGAACTTACAGAACTTGGATAAATTGATTTACTAATTATATTTTTCTTTCTTCCAATTGTTTGACAGGATTGGTAAACATTTCCATTTAGATGATTTAATCACCATGTTACCCTGTAAAGATGAAATATCCACCATTCATTTTAGAGATGAATCTAATTTTAATATTTGGTTTCCGATTCTAACAATTGAAAGATATTCATATAACCTTTGGAAAGGTTTGGTTATGAGTACCGGAGGAAATCCCAGTTCAATTGTAAGCCAAATTAGACAATATTAATTTACTAATCAAGTAAATTAACTTGTTAACAATGAGTTACAGTCTCATAATCATTTCCTTTTTAAGTTAATTTTGTTTCTCTCTCTCTCTCTCCAACTAACTTTGATTATTTTGTTATTTTCATTTATTGTTAAGGTTAAAACTTCAATGGCCGCTCTTCTAAATCAACTTAAATCAATCAAATCAACTGATAAGGATAAATTTAACCAAATTATTGACATTTTTATAAATGTTTACCAAGATAATTTAACAGTGGAAAGAATGTGTTTACAATTGATAAATACTCTTAATTCCATGGTGATTTCTGGAGTATTTAATGATTTAGAAGAGTCAAAAATTAACATTCTAATTGATAAAAGTTGGTCGATTGCGAAAATAACAGCGATTCCTAAGAAAAAAGTGGCAACCGTTCAACTTTTATGTAACTGTTTACGTTTTAAAGGTAACAATTTAAAATTAATTAACATGAAAACATCAGTTAGTTTGTTTCTCCTAAATAAACAATGGGAAAAATTTTTATTTATATTTATGTAATATATGGATGATGGAGGTTGATAAGGTGGAGGAATATTGCTAAAAGAAAAGTAGTATTGGAAGAGTGGAGTGGAGTGGGTGATGGTGGTGGTGGTGGATAAGAGGGAGACTGGGCCAATCTTTTTCACTCCCTGGTGTATTGGTACAATTTCACCGTTATCGTTGTATTTGAATGTGATAATTGTCATTGAGAGAAAGGTGAGAAAAAGGTTATGTGTGTTTGCTGGACAATAGGGTCAGTTTTTTAAAAGGGAAATTGGAGAATCACTTAAGTCTTGAATCTTTTTTTTTTCTTTTTTTTTCTTGTTACAAAATATCGTTTTGTTTGTTTGTTTGTTTGTTGATCATTTGATGTAGACTTCTAATTGTGATTGGTTAATTGTTCTTGTTATTGTCTTTTCTTTTTCCAGGTTTACGCAAGAAATGTTTGAATATTTTATGCATCTTTCTATGTACCAAATATCCTTTTGTACGGACCAACACGGCAGACGAATTGTATACAGCGTTAATGATTTATGAGGACATTTTTCAAGATAATCTGGTTGGTGTTAACAATGAAGATAAAATGGATCATAATGAAGATGGTGATGAGAAAAACGATGCTGAAGATGAAACTAAACAGGAACAAGCTCTTAGACTTTTGACGGAAACTGATTGGAACAAAGAAAGAAGCATTTTAATACCAATCAAGGATAAATTGAAGAGCCTTTTGAGCTTGTGATTGGTTTGGATGATGGATCTCAATCTTTGTTTACGTGTGTAAATGAATGAATAATCAGTTAGTTTGTAATAGAAACGAAATGAAACAATTGATTAATTCGTGTTTTTGTCCAGTGCGTTAATTGTGGAGAGAAATTGAGAAAGAGAGATTGAATTTTTGTAAAGAGGAGAGAGAGAGAGAGAGTGGATATTAGTGATGGAAAATGAAAATAAAGGTGAATAAGGGGAAAAACAAATGAAATTAAGCAAGTTAATTGTTACGATTTAGGGTGGAAAGGTAGAAAATGCAAAAGAGAACATTAAATTAGACGTAGAAATGGAAAAACAGAGGAGGGGAAGATGTTGAAGGTCGTTTTCTCTCTTATTTTCTTTTATTTTCTTCTCATTCTGGTTCAGGGTTTTCATGACATTTGTTGATAAGGTTCAACATAAGTAGCAGGAAAATATCCTTTTCGTCCTTCAATTTCACCTTCCCACCAATTTTGATCTGAATTATCGGTAACCGTGATAACATCACCTCTCTTGAAACCAAGCTCACCATTTTCTTGTGGTGTAAAGTCATACATGGCTTGTACTAGTATCTCATCAGATGGTATTTGTATATCTCTTAGTTTAATATCTTGGGATCGGGAGACTGAGGCAGATCGATGATATTCAATCAATTCATTAAGTGAATTAAATTTAACCACCCAGAGGAAAAATTTACCCTGAGTATCACGAAGAACTTTAAAATGTTGAACATAATCACCACACTTTACCGAAAGAGAGAAATCACTTGGTGAACTTTCACTGACCCTTATGAGAAAAGCTCCTTCATGTTGGGTGATTAACAATCTTTCTGCATCAGCACGAGAAATTCTACCATGATACCAATCGTGAGGTTTCATTTGAATATAATTACTAGGAATTAGGCCTTCTCGACCCTCCAATTCAGCTCGGTACCAATTAACATCATCCTCCATGTTTAATATTTTTAGAGTATCAAATTTACGGAAACTTAATTCATCTTCAGCTGTAGCATTGAAATCATGCTTAGCAATGGCTTCCATGATTAACACAATTGAAAGAGAGAGATAATAAGACAGAGAATAGAAAACAAGAAAAAAAAGAAACAATTAGATAAAAAAAAGACAAAGAGATAGATAGAGAAAGAGAAACAGAAACAGAGAAAGAAAGATAGATAGAGAGAGAGAGAGAGAGAGTAAAGATAGAGAAAGATAAAAAAGATGTTAGAGAAACTAGAAGAAGAAGAAGAAGAAGAGAACACTTTTTGTTTTGGTTTTTTGTTCTTCTCTTTTTTAGTGGAGAAAACAGTTGAAAGAAAATCAATCACAATTTAAATGGTTTTAATTACTAAAACGTATGTTTAGTAGAACAAAGTTGATTAATTGAGAGAATAAATTAATAAAAATGATCGAAATTAAAGAAGAAAAAAAGAAAATACAAAATAAACAAAACACTTAAATAATGAATTTCATCCAGAATAGTGACTCTTTCATACGACTGTCAGTTCATCAATGAAAGAGATTTCATTCTTTCTCCCTAGAGGTCATTTTAATCATCGCATTTATTTTCTACTGGAAGAAATTGTTTATCTTCAATTAATCACAATTAAAAATCTATAATCAATCAATTGATTAACTACAGACGATGAAAGATCAACTCTTTCTCCCATTAACAAATCAACAACACACAACAACAGAAAAGGAAAACATTTACTATTTTCATGAGAAAATTATGATTCTTCTCAATCAATTTAATTCTTTTAGATTTTTTTTTCATTCTTTTTCTATTAATAATCAACCCTCTCTCTCTCTTTGTGTCAACTGATTAACAGCCTAATTTCCAAGTGAATTGTAAGATTGTTCAACTAATCCCCAAACAGATTAAACTAATCATCAATTAACTTGGTTAACAAAAAATTCTCTCCAATCAAATGATCAATTTTTTTTCTTTGTTCTATCAGGGGATCGATCAAATTTCGCGCTCTGTTGCCATGGAGACATTTATGTAACATTTTAAAGAGAAAATGAAAAAGTGCTGCCATCTCGTGAATAGAAAATAACTACTTTTATTGTTGAGAAAATTTTTTCAATTTCGATTAATTATTAGTTCGTAATTATTTTCTATTACAATTAATTTTTAAGATATTAACTTAATCATTATGATCGAACTTTATTTTCTCATAATTATTATTATCATCCAACTAGTGGAATGTGAATAATAATGATTGATTATCTGCTTCTTGTCTGAATTTATGTCAATTAGTAAACTTTACAATTGCAGTTGATTAATATTTGTGTTAAAGTTAATTAATAGATAGAAATTAATTGTTTCATTTGCTTCAATCAACATTAGGAAACAAGTAGAAGAAATCAATAAAAAGTCAATAATTAAATTGAAAGTCACTTACAAGGTCCGATAATTTATTTATATGGTGAAGCAATTTATTGATCAATTATTGGGTTGAATGAATAATAATAAGCTAATCATAATTAGTTAGGAAACCAATTAACTTGACAATATTATCATTAATATTGATTTACCAATGAATTAAATGTAAACTGTTGATTTAGACATATACAAATGAGCATATAACTAATTTAAGTATATAAATGATAATAATTTGACTTAATTAGGCTAATCACTTTTAATTGACCATGTAAACGTCTAATCAAATTGGGGTTAACAATGAATTACAGTTAATTGTATTGATACATTTACCCAATTACATAAACAATAAGAAAACAGTTTATGTCTAATTAACTAAACTAATCATTATTTTTAATAATTATATTGCTCTTAAGATTGATTAACCCATTGAAAAGCAAAAGAAACAGTAATAAAAACAATTAACCAGCAATTTATTGATTGTAATTTTATTCCAATACAATAACATTCATAATAAAACAAGAGAGTAAAAATAATTTGATTGAAGATCAATTTGTTTATTAATTTGATTACAATTATTGTTATGTGACAATTAAGCTCACAAAACAAAACTAATGGTACAAAATTTAAAATGGTTCATTGATTGAACTAAATTACAATTGATTGTTGATGGGAAAAAAATAAACAAGGGATTAGATTGTGTTAATTAGTTCAAGTCGTTTAGTTAATTACACCAAACACACCTGAAACTTTGCTCACCTTATTTTAATTATTTCTGAGGTTGAGACAAAGTCCGAGGCACGTTCAACATAACTGGACGCGACTTTTTCGGGATCAATATTTAGATTAAAACAAGAAAAAAAAAATCTAATACTTATCACATCTCAAGATGTAAATATTAAAATACAATGGACACAGTGGTCAATCAGATGACCATCAGTACCTGAAGATAATGATGATAATGATGATGAAGATGATGATGTTATAAATGGTTCAAGCACACCTGAAACTTTGCTCACCTTCACATATAAATGTATTTAATTACAGAGGTACAGAGAGACAATAGTTCAGGCGGGTATGAGGACCATTTATTAGTCAATCATTGTCACTTGAATGGTCAGTTTAACGTTAAAGTGTCACAAAATAATGAATAATGCCCAGAGAGAGAGAGAGATGAAAATCCAAATTGATTATATTCCATCGAGGGTCAGTGGTCATCGTTGGTTGAATAGGTGAGAGTTTCAATCTCACTGAACACACCTGAAACTTTGCTCACCTAAATGAGTGACCTTTGCATATCTAAGGTTGAGACAAAGTTCCGGGCACGTTCAGCGAAATAATCGGAACTTTTTCCAGTCCTTTTCACAAGATTAAGTTAATCACATGAACAAAAGACATTGAGACATGGATTAAGTTTTATTATCATTGAAACTGGAGAGAAAAAAAAAATCAAAAAGATTAACAACTTACCTGTTTTATTAGCATTATTATTATCATTCATTGATTAAGATTAGTACCTTAATAAACCAGTTTGAGATTTGATTTGAAATTGAAACTGAAATTCAACAGAATCAGCGTATCATCATCATAATCATAATCACCATCATCATCACCATCAAGGTATCCATGGTGTTAATTGTTGTTAGATTATCATTTCCATAAAACTGATACAGTTGAATCAATCATATGGACACAATAAAAGACTCACACACACAATGAGTTCGTGATTACACAAACACACCTGAAACTTTGCTCACCTTATTAAAATTCATTTTTCTGAGGCTGAGACAAAGTCTCGGGCACGTTCAACATAATTACAGTTAAGTTTATCAATCAGATTGTACGTTTTACACGAGCACACACATTAAATTGTTGTCGACAACAACAATCAACCACTTACAATTGAATTGACCAAATCACAATCATATTGTACCTACAATCAAGAAGAGAGAGAGAGAGAAAAAAATAGAAACAAGAAATGATCAAATTAAATGATTCATTGAAGTCTCTCAATAATAACACGTCAACATATACAATATATTATTTATTGGAAAACTACAAAATGCAAAATAATAATCAACAATCAAGCAAAAGTTAACCTAATCATCGTTGATGATGAGGATGATGAGGATGATGATGATGAGGCTACACCCACTCTCCAATTGATTTCTCCTTAACCTCCTTCTCATCCTCATCCTTACGGACTTGAAAACCTAATAATAACCATGAACAATATTGTTGATACATAATAATAATCAACTTGATTATCTAATTATATATGCGTTTGCAATTTGAATAAATTAAAAACTTTTTTTTCTTCTCGTTATGTTTTCGTTGTAGTTTTACAATTCAAGCTCAAAAAAAAAGTTTTATCATTGGAAACTTCAATACATTCAGTGTATCCTCATTCATCCGGTAATTTCATCATTTTGATGATAAGGATGATCATGCATCAATTAAAGATGATGCTGATGATGATTATGAAGATTAAGAAGTAAAAAAAACAACTACTGAAGATGATACAAAATTGATGATCATTTTTCATCTTTTCCGTTTTTATTTTATTTTTTTTTTCTTCTTCTTATTTCTTGACAGACAATGACAAGCTATTCAATGTTAGAGTTTTTTTTTCTTCCAGGACAAGTTACATGTTTGTCAACATGAGTGAAAATTTCATCATTATCATGAATCTTTACTGAAAC